AAGTTAAGACATTGGTCATTTCTACTCTAACACATTTAAAAGAGAAGCACTGTATCTTTAGTAGTTAAACTAGTAGACTGGATCCAGAAAATCCAAGTTCAGCTCCCATAAAATTCACTAGAAGAACTTGAACAGGTCACTCTTTTTCAGCCTGACTAACTTCACAGTCTTGATGGAAGGATAAACTGGGAAGATGACAGCCAAGTACAGTACACTATCTTGAACTTACTGGAGAGAAGGCAGAATATAAAAGGTAACAATATTGTGATGCAATATGGAATAACATTAAAATTAAAAAGCACACCTATACAAAAGCATGTAATGGGCTGGAGGGGCCGAGTTGTAGGCACTCTTGAATACTGCAAAAAGCAACAGAAAAGATAGAAGCTCTGAGCAGTGCATACCCTGGAAAGAGTTCTCTCCCAGGTCTCATACTGCATCCCAGGTCATCTGCATGCCCCACATTCTGCTCTCCACTGAGCTAAAGGGACTTTTTCTGTGGTTTCAACTATACACAGTCAAGTATTACTGTTCCAGCAACCATGCCTAACAGATGTTTGTCATGACTTACAAAGATCCTTTTTTCTTGACCTTGGTTGCTCAGTTATGATACCTAGTTCCATTTCATGTTTTTTCAGTTAATGAGGCACTGTGATCCTCCTGTAATCTGCAGTTGCTGTTGCTTCCCAAATCAACTATTAAATGCAGTGCATGAGTTATCAAAGATGGCATACACCAGAAGCCAAAGAGCAATGGGGGTATGGAGTGACTTACTGTTGGATGCTAGTGGCCTCATACATTCACACATTTCAGTTTGAGTTACAGTATTATGAATTTTTAATCCTCCCATTTAAGCCCTCTCATCTACAACTAAACAATACTGGAGTAAATTTGCTGTAATGTTCCATCAAGTTGCTTCTGATTTACAGTCACCCTACTAGGATTTTCAAGGTATATTAGATGTTCAAGAAGTGGTTTATCATTACCTTCACCACCATGCAAGGTTTCCATGTAATAATGGGGATCTGAACCCACATCTCCTAAGTCCTAGTCTGAAACTGTATCTACTGCACCACAGTGGCTCTTACTTGTGTAAATTTATACTAACAATGTTACTTAGCCCTCTACATATGGGAATCATGGCTATTATCAGTGATGCAAAAATCAGATGGTATAACATCAGGACAGTTTTCACCATGAATAATCATAGAATCACAGAATAATTGAGTTAGAAGGACCCTATAAGGCTGAAGAGTTCAGCTCCCTGCTCAGTGCAAAACTCCAAATCAAAGAATATGGCAGATGGCTGTCTAATTTTCTCTTGAATGCCTCCAGCATTGGTGCACTCACCATCTTCTGAGATAACTGGTTCCATATGATGGTATATCGGCAGTGTAGTAATTATCTTTTTCATGGCTGCAGACGCCTTATCATAGCTCTGTAGTTAGTTCAGAAGGATAGTGGACTTTCCCACACTCCCAACTAGGATATGTCCTCTTAGTTGATTTCTATTTCCAAACAATTGGATTTTGAAGTAAATTACAATGTGATGAAAGAGACCACACAAACGCATACATCTTTGTGGATATTCCAATCTTGTACAAAGCCTTATATTTTTTCAAGTAGGGATGTGCGCTAGCACACAAAAAAAATGGATTTGGAATTCAGACTCAAAATTTGAATTTTAAAAAGGTTGTTGCACTTACTACAAATACAAATAATAAATAATAATCTTCTGCCATCAAGACAATTCATATGGTGACCCTTCTCCGTTGTTGTTGTTTTTTTTTTTTGTTAGATAACACTCAGAAGTGATTTGCTTTCCCTTCTTCCAAGGGCATCCTTAGACTATGGAGCATGCGCAAGATTACACAGACTGGTTCCTATCCCAGGACACACACTGGAGTACCCAACTCCCAACCTCTGGTTCTACAGCCAGATATCTAAAGCCAGCTCTCTAGCCAGCAATATGAGTATTACAGATATGAATACTATACACTATCACCTCCTTGGCAGAAACACACACACCCAGTATTGCTGTCTGCTGATCTTTCGTAGTGTCAGCGCTGAGCAAGGCAGCTGGGTGAAATTTCTTATTTTAGGGGCTCATAATAGTAGACGTAGGCTGATTTTCCTCTCAATTTCACTCTCCCTCTCTTCTCAATAGAAATCATTGTGGTGGGTGTAGACCATTTTTCTGCAGCCTTCCCTAAATCTCAACTTTTTCTACCCCAGGCATGTTTCATGCTGCCCTACCTGAAGCACAGTATCTAATTCTGCTGCAGAAGAATAAAATCCCTTCTAATGAAAATCTCTCTTTCTCTCTGTCTCTCTCTTTCTCTCTTTCACTCACTCACTCACACACAAACATCAGCCTATATATAAAACAAAATGTTATTCCCCTGCCAGATATGCACCAAAGAGTCTAAACCAAATATAATATTTCCTTGTTGATTTATGACATATTAATCTACGAATCTAGTCATGACATATTAATCTATGAGTCTAGTCTAAATCTTATTCTTAACTATATTAAGTGAGTAATATATAATGAGATGCAGAGAGTATAAATGTAAGTTGAGGGTTCAGAAAAGGACACAGAGAAAACTGCTGCAGTGAAGGCTTGCACCAGAGCATAACAGCAAATGCTCAGGGGATTTATAAACTTCCATCAAAAGGAAAGAATCAATGTGAAAAAAAAATTCTGGTGTCTGTGTCTGCTTCTTGATTTCATTGGTGCAGACAAACATGTACAGGTTTTGCTCTCTCATCAAGCCCAGTCCCTTGGGAAACCCAGCGCAAACCCAATCAGGAGACACTGAGCTCTCTACTTCCGCCACCCTTTGTGCCAATGTGTCTCTAAATTTCATTTCTCAAGAAATCTCTCCAGGATATTTGAGAAACAGGTTCCACTTTCACTTCTTCCTCTACCAAGCAGAAATTTAAGTCTTTACTTTCTAATTTATAGGAATAAATGAGATTCTGAATATTAGGAATTATTATTACAGATATTTGGAAATATCAAATTTGGATTTGGATATATTTAGAACTATCCAGATATGTTATTATTTTGGAATTCTTATACATCTCCCTAAAAGTGACCACGAGAACTTACTTTGGTTCTATATGATAGCTTTCATAATTGATTCTAATCTATACATTTGCTATGATTTAATTTCCCCCTAAAGTTATAATTAATATATGAATGCCCTGTGTTACTACACTCTAATAACAGAAATAACTTTTTGTTTTACTATAGGCCTTTGGGATGTTTACAGAATTTATTTTCTGTCTGAAAAAAATGCTTGCCTATAGACATATAGCAAAGTTTTGAATTGGCCTAGTTGTGGTTCAAATGACCTTGAAAGAAACCCAGTTACAAACAAGAGCTCTTGGATAAGAGGCAGCTGGATGGAAAATAAGGAGGAGAAATGATTTAAAAAATGAACTGCAGATGGTGCAATACATTGGCTATAAAAACAAAATAGTTTAATGCATCTGTCTTGCTCCTTAGAAAATAGTATTATTACTGTTTTACTGATTAGAAGCTGTATATATTTCATTTATGTTGTAATTAACCTTTAATTATCATCCTTTAAATCTCTGAGACAAAAACTTCCCAGTTGTTTTATACTGAAATTTGTTTACTATCCTGTGAATTTCACATTTATTATGGCCTTATATCTTTAAAGAGCAGATAAAACACACAGCTTCCCCACCTAATATTCTGGATGCTTGAGTCAAAGATTATGTTTTCCACTTTTTATGTCCTACAGCTTGATTCTTAGTATTTATCCAACACTACCACAGTCTTGGAAAAAAATTGTTTTAAAGCAAAAAGGTATGACTAAAGTTATATTCAAACAAACAAGGAAGTATAGACTACTCACAATATCTTCCCATCTTCAGTCAAAATATGGACATACTTTAGTATCCTTCTTGTGTCTTAGCTGTCACCCATAAACTCTACTAGCCACCCCAATCCCTACATTGAACACCGCTAGTGGCATGGAAGGACTAAAGTAAAACACAAATGTTTATACTGTCTACATGTGCAAACATATACAAATCATACATTTGTAACACAATTCTATCCACAATTATATGATCTTTATTGATCTAGTTATTCCTTATTTGGGGGGAAAAGTCTTAGTGTGTTTAGTGGCTTAGTCCTAATTAAACAGAGCAGTTTTTTTTTCTTTTTAGAGAATAAAAAGTGGAGCTCACCACTTGCGCTTATTTGGGATAGGAATGTGTCTAATTTTTGAGTGAGGATGGGGAGGATGATCTGAATTTCCTTGTTTGAGGGCCAAGTGAAGCTTTAACCATATCTTTGTATTAACAACAGCTTCTCCCTCTCTTTTGGCAATTTTCCTGTTACAAAAATTTTCTATGTGGCAAAAAGAAAGTCTGTCTTCATAAGAAAAAAAATTAAAGGTACAATATAAATAAACAAACCAAACACCCAATGAGAATATAACACCATGGACTCACAATACCAAGCAAACTAACTTTTCTCAACCAATTCTATGTCACTCTCTTAAGAAACAGAGCCACGCACAGAGGAGAGCAAGTTCCATTTGCACCTTTCTTTGAAAGATCGGAACAGATGGAGTGGGCTACAGTAAATTTAGGAAATCTGGTGGCAGCACAAGCTTCTCCTCACTTTACTCATCCAAAGTGCACCACAGCTCCTCAACTCAGCAGTGATTCCTGGCTCTCAAGGCAAGAGTTTCAAGGATTTGTCTTGCAAGAAAATCAAGCACAGTCTGCTCCTGGCTACCGCCTCCTGCAGATGGTAATTCTGATCCTGCCCAACTTATCCAGCTTCATCACAAAGTTCTTGAGGAACAAGACCTTTTTTTAAAAAAAAATCAATCAATCTAGAGATAAAATATATTACACTGTACACACTTCTCTATTCTTCAACAAGCAAACACAATGTATACAGGAAAGGATCTAGTTTGATCTCATTTAGGAATCAATCCACTCTGCAGTACCTGTTTAAAAAGTTGAAGATTCACTGCAGTTTCCAGAAACTGTTTAGTGGTGCTGGAACGATGTTTGACAAAACTTTCTTCACAGAAACTGACCGGCTCCCCCTAAATTGAGAGAGGAGGGATTAGAAGGATAGTTCTTGGGCAGTTCAGCTTAACTAATATTCCCGTAGTTAATACTGATCAATTATAGATATGCAGAGGCAACAAAAACATGAGGTATATGTCATGGAAATGATAGCCGACACTTTACACTCAAAACAAATTTAATATTAGCTAGTCAAGATCACAGTTATTATGACTCAGTGGCTGAAATCCAGTTGCACGGGCACACAAGCATAAATGTTATGCCTGCAGTAACTATAGTTGTGTCAAGGTGGAAGTGCTATCCATGAAGAACTTCTGCTGACGTACTGTGCAATTGGTCAAATGAGAACAGCATGATTGACAGCAGAATCGCTTTTCACTATTCTTGTTTCCGGGCCCATTGATGATGGCATCACTTCACATTATGCATTGGCGAACTGGATTCCAGCCAATAAATATATTTCTATGTCTCTGTACAAAACTTTTAAGTTTCAATGTAAGGAAAAAACCACAAGGAATGGTGGTGCTGTCCCCACACTACTGTTTTGTGTGCATTTTTTAAAAACTATCTTCTGAACTGGGCTCAAATACAAAATCTAAAAACAAAGATAGATTAGAAACACTTAAAACTACACAATCCCTTTTTTCTTTTCTTTCTAACAAGTTTCTCTGTCAACTTAATGAAAAATGTCTTCTGCAAGCTAACTAGGTTTTTAAGTAACTTTTGGGGATCTGTGGGAAAAATCTTTTGAAATGGAATTACCAAAGTAAAGTGTTATACAAGATTATGTATGTATGTATATGTGTGTGTGTGTGTGTGTGTGTGTGTGTGTGTACGTACTTACTTACTTACTTACTTACTTACAATCTAGAGGCAAACCACTACTTTGGATGTTCTACAAAAATTATAAACACCCAAACACCCCATCCTTAAAACAAAGCAGTCTTGAAAGCCCCCCAAGCAGTGATGGCAATAACAGAAAAACAATAGTATGCACATAGCATAACAGTCTATTGTGGGGGAAGATATTCTGAAAAGCCTTTCTCAAAAGCTGATTTTACCAGCTTTCGGAAGGCTAGCAGGGGAGGGGCCTGGAACACCTCCACTGGCAGGGCATTCTGTAGTGTCACAGCTACCACCGAGAAGGCCCAGTTCCTGGTTAAGGATTTCCAGGACTCGCTTGGGATGGCCACCTGCAGCATCAGAGCCTGGGTGGAATGGATGGGCAGAAGATCTTTAAAAAAAGGTACTCTGAGTAAAATATTGAGACCTCCATGGTCATAAGATCTGGCTTGGTATAAAATCTTTGTTTCCCTGTGATTCTGTAATGAAGTGAGTGTCCTTTCTCAAACCACTAACATTTGAATTACTGGCCCAAATCCTCTTGCATAGCTATGGAAAATGGTATAACTTCTGGGAGCAAATTGCTTCAAGTTAAGAAATCCTTGTAAACATTAGTTGTATGATGAGTCACACTACTTGCTGGACAACAGATAATATCTTCTGTAATTTGCTGTAGAAGCAATTTGTTTCCAAAACTTACGCTGTTTTTGTTATGCTGGTGTAACAAGACTAAAAAAAGAGGATTTGGGTCACAGAGATCTTAAGATTGTGCAAATTAATGGAGGATTTCCTATAAGGTTCCTATTCTGCTTTGTTTTGTCAGATGAATGCATAATTTATCAGATACTCCTGGTTACCAAAATCAGTATCAAAGATTTTCATATAAATATCACTATATGAAACAAATGAAAAATAGAAAATCACCAGCAGCAATCCTATCACAAGATTGGGACCACCAAAATATGTCAAGTAGTGCCTTTCCTATATTAAAGGCTCCCACCTCAGTCCCAAAGCTCCAAAAGTCTTCCCAGGTGCAAAAGGGATCTCTAGGTAGCCTTGGGAACTGAAGAGGGGGCAGGAAGTTTTAGATTCGGTTTAATTACAGATATTGGCTGAAAGCAGTCCTAAACAAATTGCAAGTTATGGGCTTCTCTCCACAAGCAATACTGAGTATGCAATGGGATGAAGCAAAATCAGCCCTCAAACAGAGAATAATGGACATGGAAAGACAGATAGATCTGGGTAGATGCCCCAACTTTAGAGCGATGGACACACACAAATATCGCGTGCTCCCCATGGCCTATTTGTCACAGCTTGAGACATATAAGTTTAGGAAAGCCTTTACTCTGGCTAGATGTGAGGCCTTTCCCTCAGCAGACCTGGAAGGCAAGTTTAAGAAGATCCCGAGGGAACAGAGACTCTGCCCCTGTGGATCTGGTGAGATAGAATCTATTGAGCATATGATGCTCAGATGTAACAGGCATAACAAGATTCGAGGAAAATATATTACACCTCTCTTAAAAGACATGACAAGCCAGTCAGACTCGGACTACTGTAACCAATTGTTAATTGATCAAAATCGGATTACTACAGAACTGGTAGCGAAATTTTGGGCGGCATGCCATAGTAGGCAGAATAGATAGCCAAACTTAGACATTGGTCTTACATTGTCATATTTGTAGTTTTGGCTTTTTGTAGTATATGTTAGTACTTGAAGCTCTGCATTTAATTTTGTTTTATTTATATGGCTCGATGCTGTAACAATAAAAGTGTGTGTGCTTTCCCATATTAAAGGCTCCCATCTCAGTCCCAAAGCTCCAAAAGTCTTCCCAGGTGCAAAAGGGATCTCTAGGTAGCCTTGGGAACTGAAGAGGGGGCAGGAAGTTTTAGATTCGGTTTAATTACAGATATTTGCTGCTGGACGACGATATCAACCCAGCATATACATTTGTACCAACAATATTTCAGCCATGGGATCCCAATGCTTCCTTTTGAAAATCACCAGACGTGTGTGTCTCCTTGGCAGCTGTTCAGCTACTGTGGAGCAATGACCAGAAAACTATGCTTTTTATGGAGGCTGCATTGACCTCCTTCAGCAATGTGAAACATGGTCTCAGATTTATTTATTTTTGTCTCTTTAAACAGAGGCAAAACAGAGGTCTATACTTCCCTCTGGCGTTGTTGCTGACTTTCAATACAAAATTTTAAAGCTGTTTTGTTGTCTAACATCAAGGCTGTGATTTGAAAAAAACCACAGCTGTGCTAGTGGTAAAATTGATGACACTCTGGTCAAGCAGGCTTACAATTGTACTGGTTATAAACAGCATTTTTCCTGTAAAGTATCTACTCTTCAAGCTTTTTCATTCCAGATCTGGACAACACTGAAGCTTAACAAGACTCTTATAAAGGCAAAGGTCCCGTCCCCCGGCATACATATAGGAACTTATTGACCACTTTGTAGAAGACTTGTGTAAAACAAAAAAAATCAGAATTGGCAATTAATTCAAAGAACACAATATCAAGAGTCAAGTGCAGCTCAAAATACCTTGGGTTTTTTTGTATCACCTTGTACAGTAAATTTGATTTACAGTCAGCTATTGACTTGCTGGAGTGTGAACCTCTTGTTGGACTATAACTCATGTAAGAACAGATACTGGAAATCAGATGCTGTAATACATTATAGTTACACAACGTGCACGCAGGTTGAAGTCTCAGAATAAGGTAAAACCTACTAGGGAAAAACTGGGAGGGATTAAAGATATTCCCATCTGAATTCTTGATATAATGAAATTGAGACACCTTTCAAAGAGAAGTTTCGGGATACTTTGATAAAATATTATGTCCATGTTTGTTGTTTCTTTTACCTTGAACTCCCATTGATTTTAACTATATATAGTATATAGTGTGGTGGCTTCATGTCTACAATTCCACTTAGTTTGGTGCCTTCTAACCTATGGCTTATGTGAATAGCCATTCATGACTGAGAAGCTATAAAAATGTATATAAAATTTCTGAATCACTTTAATGCTACTCTTTCTTGTTTGAAAACTGTCTTTGCTCTTATTGGGTTTTCACAAATGATTTTATCTATTTTTAGGCTATAGTTCTGTCCCTTCTATAAACAAAGAAAGAAATTCTATATACCAATTCCAAGCTAATTTTCTAAGTGGTGACTGTCAAACAGCTAAAAGTAGCACTGTCCATGTGCAATATAGATATATCTGCAGGTTTGAAGTCGTCCAAGCGCAAAGATTCTTAGGGTGTGGATTAAGAGGGCAACTACTCCAAGTACAGCTCTATCAGGGCTACATACGTTCAACAACCCTAGAATACTGGTTAACATTTGGAAAGAGATGAAAAACTGAAGAGAAAAGAGAATATGTGGAATATGCTGAAAGTATGGATGGCAAACAAAGTTTGACAAAATCCTGTGGAAGTTCGACAAAATCCTGTGGAAGTTTGACAAAATCCTATGAAAATGTTTATATGTTTCTCTTCATGCTCCACGCTGGTTCATGAAGGCACACTAGAATGCTTGATGCTTTCTGCCAAACACTGAGGATATCTGTATAGAGCAGGGATGGGCAAAGTACAGCTGCCATGGACCCAAAGGCAGCACCCCTGCACCAACTTTAACTTTTTTTTCTGAATAAGCCAACTTGTGCCCCCTTTTTCCCATGTCCTGGTACCCCCAGCAACCCTGCCTCCTCCATTTTGTCTCAAACTGGAGACTGAAAGGTGAGAGAGCTCTTTTTAAATTAAAACAAGTTCTTTACAGTGATTGTGTTATTCATTTTCAAAAGCTTTCACTCACTTCTGGGAACCTGACTTCTTTCCTTGCTCTTTGGAGACTGTTCATTTACCACATGTCTCCATGGTTAGGGGATATTGAGGTATCAGGGAATCACAGCACTGAGATTCTCCAGTGCCACTGTTGCTGCTCAGAGTGCTGCCTTGTCAAACTGAGTCTCAATGTTCTGAATAGCACTAGTATATATAGAAATGCATTTTACAATTAGCAAGCCAATTTTGTTTAACAAATTAGTCCAAAGGAATATATTTATTTTTCAGAGAATGACTAACAGCTTATGAATTACAATCAGTGACCAAAATTCTATTGTTTAGTGTAGGAAGTTGCACTAGAAAAGGCCCACTGAATCAATGAGGATTTAGT